TTATTTGTATTATCTAAAGCACCATTATCTCATTCTTTAAGGTCAACATTAAGCCAATCAGTCAATTTATCTTCACCTTAACTATTTAAATAGTTAGATTTATTCATAATTGAAACAGGTTCGTTCATAGTTGACGCTTCAGATTCATTCATATTTGAAACACCAGGTTTGTTAATATATGAAGTTTTCATTTTGCCTCTTTTTTCATCACATATTTGGATTTCATCATTCTGATCATAAAATGAACTGGAGGTATTGTTGGTGTTGGTTATCATAGAACATTCAGCATTATTATCAAAAAAAATATATTGTCCTATCTCTATCATACTTTCAGAATGATTATTTGAGAAATCAGCTGTGTTTATTTCATACCAATATGATTCCATGTTTAGTTAACAAGAAAATCAATGTAGAGGTGACAAAAAAAAAGTCGGATGTGAAGGTAACTAGAAAATCAAATTGAAAGTATCAAAAAATTGTGACAATAAAATCAGATGTGAAGGTGACAAAAGATTTGATGTGAATGCAAGAAATTCAAATATGAAAGCGGCAAGAAAATCAGATGCGAAGACGACAAAAGAATCAGATATAAATATGCCAAGAAACGTGGGCATGAAGATACAAGAAAATCAGGTTTAAGAAACTCTTATTTTTTTTTTTTTTTTTTTATTTTTTAAAAAAAAGCGCATCTAAGCGTACTTTATTTATTTATTCATTTTAAGGATAATGTACAAATTTACATATTGAGATTAATATATTTAAGAATATTGTTAGTTTTTTCCGATTTGGAAAGAACTTTTTGTTGAGTAATTTTTGTAATAGTTTAATTTCATGTTTGATTCTTATAGTTATGATGTTTGCTATTGCCTCTTGAGGAACTATATTATTGCCCCATCTGGCTTGGGTATACCAGCACCATATTTCATAAATAGCTGTAATATGAAGCCAAATGACGATTTTTCTTTTTTGAGTATTCACGATGTTGGTTGCTGAAGTGATGTCTTCTAAAGTTCTAGGGATAGTATCTCCATCTGTATTGATAAGTGCTCTGTAGGTAGTTTCCCAGATTACTTTGCTTAGTGAGCATTTAAGAGCAAAATGTTCTATTGT